GGGCAGGGAGAAAAGTGCAACAATGAATGAATGGAAATCCAAAGTCTCTGTAAATCTTAATGGAAATGATAAAATATAAAAACAAATATATAAAAATACATATATATTAAGTACATATATAATAAAAATATAAATCCATCAAATCGCTGTGTCCTTGGGGCTGAGTCTGACTCAGGCAGCCGTGTGCGCCTGAGCAGACTGTGTCCCCAGGGTTGGCAAATATGCGTTTCAGCAGCGTGTCCCCAGGCCTGCCCTGCAAGTCACCTTAGGGTGGCCTCAAACCTGTGACTCCTTGGTTAGCAGCCACGCATACCAACTGTCTATACCGTCCAAAGTCTCCAGCAATTCACAAACAAATACTTTTTAAACAATATGGTTTATTAAAGGTGTCCCCACAGATGGGACAGCTCTTAGGGTGTCCACGTGTCTCCGAGCTGGTCCCAGGCGCTGGTCAGTCTGTCTGAGTGGGGTGGACGACACTTGTGATTTTACAAGTTTTCTCATGGTTTGAGTGGAGGGCAGGTGGAGCTAAGGACCGCACAGCGTCCTGGGATGGGCAGCAGCTCTGTGACCGTGGGTTCCTGGGCCCCCCGGCCTCCATGTGTCTGTATCTGCCTGCAGGCTGTTCAGCACCCCCATTCCCCCTTCATGTGGTTTGGGGAAACTCCCCAGGCTCTGTTCTCTCATTTGCCCCCAGGGCCCCCGCGGCCTGTCCAGGAGGATTGAGGGACAAAGCATGTCTATGTGCTTCTTTGTAGAAAGAAAAGACACGTCGCCGGCTGGGTCCTCGAGCACGGCCAGCTCAGAGGAGAACAAGCAGATCTGCCTGTACCACGTCTGGAAGGGCTGCGGCTTCCAGGGTGAGTGTGCGGGAGCCCCTGGGGCCCGTGTGTACCCACACCAGGCAGGACCAGGGCTGCACGGCACTGTGCGCGTGCAGGGAATCGTGGGGCTGTTCCTGAATTTCTAAAAATCAAATTGTAAGGCAGTTCTTGTGAATGCTTCATTCATGCAGTGGGTCTGGGGTCACAGCCCTGCATGAGGGGGGACGGACTGAGGACAGCAGGTCGTGTGTGGAGGGTGACGGTGGCATGGAGATGTTTTCGTGTGGGGTCACAGCCCTGCATGAGGGGGAGGCTGAGGACAGCAGGTCGTGTGTGGAGGGTGACGGTGGCATGGAGATGTTTTCGTGTGGGGTCGCAGCAGCAGGTTGTGTGTGGAGGGTGACGGTGGCATGGTGCTGTTTTCGTGTGGGGTCGCAGCAGCAGGTTGTGTGTGGAGGGTGACGGTGGCATGGTGCTGTTTTCGTGTGGGGTCACAGCCCTGCATGAGGGGGAGGCTGAGGACAGCAGGTCGTGTGTGGAGGGTGACGGTGGCTCGGGGACCTCGTGGAGGAGGCAGCTAGCTTCTGTGGGTGAGTGCTGGGTTCAGCCGGGGTTTTCAGGGTTGATCCACAGCCCCCACCCCCCTGCTTTTGTCAGACATTTCTCCTCCGAGTGTAGGTGCAGGTCTGTATTTTCACAAAACCTGTTTTTTTCCTTCCTGCTAGTCTAGGCTTTGACTGAGGAAGGGCCTCCCCAAGCTGGGTAACTTCTCAAAAACCCAAGTTCCTGTTTCACTTTTTCTCCCGCTGTTAGGGGGTTTTACTGGGGAGGCTAGGAAGTTACAGGAGTATCCGCTCAGTCAGGACACTTCTGGAGTGTGCTCGCGGGTCGGGCCAGTGTTACAGAGCTCCCTTCCTGCCAGCTCAGGGGTCTTCCCGCAGGCCCTGGTGGAGGTTCTGGTTCTGGTTCTGTGGGGACGCAGGCTCAGTCCGCTCTGTCGCACCGCGGGCCTCTGCTTCTCCGCCGCGGCTGCTCTCCTGTCGGGCGGCTCATGCGCCTGTTTTAATTTTCATCTTAAAATGTGACTGATTGTCACCACAGCCAGGTGCAGCGCCAGGTGACAGGATAGTGATGGCGAGAGGTGCAGGGTCGTGGCCATTCCCCCACCGATGTTCCCTGATGGCAGCTGATGGGAGGGGACAGGCTGGGTGACCTGCTGCTTAACCTGACACCCGACTAGGGGAGTAAACTTAATCTGTCAGAAGCGCTTCTCTGGCAACTCCAAGGAGCAGAGCGCCCCAGTCACACAGCTGCTGTGGGGGGCTGCCACCCTACTCCCCCACCACGTGGACCCCCACCCAGCCCCCAGACACGCGGCCACTGCATCCCCCACCAGCACAAGACTTTGCGCCCTGGCCCCGCCTCCCCAAAAGGCTCTCTTCCCCCACCCCTCACTGCACCCGTGCACCCCACCCTCTGTGCTCACCCCAGCCCCCTGTGCGGCCCCTCCCCTGGACTGTGTCCCATCGCTGCTCGCATATGTGGGGCCCCTGTGGGTCCTGAGGGTTTGTGCTTGACCACTAACCCAAAGCTTGATGGTTTGAACCCACAGCAGAAAGGCCACAAAGCTGGCAGCTCAGAAACCCTGGGGAAGAGTTCCTCTCTGTGACGCAGGGCCATCTGGAGTCAGGGTCCTTTGATGGCTGGGGATTTGGGATTGGACCTTATATAGGTACTTTTGGCTTTTAAAATGTGTATTTTAAACATCCTCTTTTTTGAGGGTTTGTTGAGATGCTGTTTGCATGCAGTTCTGAGCACCCCAGGCCTCACTTTCTGTGTTTTGGCGAACGTGTGGGGGTAGCCGTCCCACCGTCAGGACGGTGGGTCCGTCCCTGTGGTGGGATTGTTCTAGGATGGTTGTTTGCTGGGACTGTGTTCATTTCCCCCTTTGGGGTCACTCCTCCATCTTGTCTACAATCTAGGGAACTCAGGAGGAAGGAGAGAGGCCATACAGTCTCCCGGGTCATCTTGATGTCGTGAATCGGCCAGAAAGCTAGGGACGCTAGAATGAGGGAGAGAAATTCAACAAGGGGACAGGAGGAGGAGGAGGAGGGAGGTGCGGCAGCGGGGACCAGGGCTGTGTCCCGAGGCCAGCGCCGTCGGCTGAGGTGGCCACCATGGGCACTGTCCAGTCTGTGGACTTCCCAATGTGAACTCGGTGGGGCCCCCAGCACCTCCCTGAGCCCTGTCTCTCTTCAGGAGTGGGCACGCCCCCTGACCCCTGGGCCTTGTGACCTGTGCTCTGATTCCAGAGACGCTGTGTGTGAGCGCTGACGTGCCCAGTGAGACTTTGCTGCTGACCATGGTCACGTCTTCAGTGTCTGACAAGGTGGCACAGAACAGCTTGGCATGACCTTTGGACCGTGCTTGGCCTTATCTTTTGGTCCTGGTCCAGCCTTTGTGCTGGCATTCCTGGGCGCATGCCCTGTGCAGTCCACAGGCCTGGTAGAGAGAGCCCACCACAGGCTCTGTGCACACTGCACCATGGGCTCTGGCCAGAGTCCATCCCAGGCTCTGTCCACCCCCAACGGCAGGCTTCACCCACAGGCCACACTAGGCCCTGTCCACCCCAGACTCTGTTCATACCCTATGGCCGGCCCCACCCACAGTCCACACCAGGCCCTGTCCACACCCCATGGTGGGCTCCGTCCACAGTCCACACCATACTGTCCACACCCCATGGTGAGCTCTGCCCATAGTCCACCCCAGGCTCTGGCCACACCCCATGGTGAGCTCCGTCCACAGTCCACACCAGGCTCTGTCCACTCTGGAGCGGTAGCCCCATGGGGCTGGTTTGGCCTTGGAACTCGAGGGGTGTGCACTGCTGGACCTTGCTGGCCTGACCCCATTGGGCCATCTCACCTTCCTCCACAGTGACCCCTCCTGCCCAGAGGCTCCAAGAAGGAGGTGGCATTGAGATAATCAGACTTTAGGAAATCCTAATACTATTCAGTATCACATTAACTAGCCTTCGTTTTATTGATCCTCTTGACCAACAGGTGTCTTGAGCATCTGCAGAGGGGAGTCATGGGAAGTCATTACCCCTCACACCCCTTCTCAGCCGGAGGCAGCGCCGCCAGCCCTGTGTATTCACAGCCCTGGGCCCCAGTTACACACCTTACTCCCCATGGAAAAGTGGGTGCTTCAATCCCCACTTAATAGTCACTGGGAGAAAGACCTGGATTCTGCTCCCCTAGATTTTAGAGCCCAAGAAACTGAGGGGCAGTCCCGCTGTCAGCTGGGTCCCCAAGAACCAGGGACCCTGTGGCACCAGCAGCATGGTGGGCCTTACCTGTGCATAGGTGCGTGTGCGCATCACTCCCTGTCTGCGGTAACACACTCACACCTCTTTGTACCTGTGACAGGTGTACATGTTAAGTTCACTGCCCGTCTGCAGTAGCACGCACACACTGCCTTGTACCTGCACACAGGTGTGTGTTATGTTCACTCCCCATCTGCAGTAGCACGCACACACTGCCTTGTACCTGCACACAGGTGTGTGTTATGTTCACTCCCCATCTGCAGTAGCACGCACACACTGCCTTGTACCTGCACACAGGTGTGTGTGTGTGTATGTGTGTGTTATGTTCACTCTCCCTCTGTGGTAGCACGAGCACACTGCTTTGTACCTGTTTTCGCCCTTGGTGAGGAACAGATTTTGGAAGCGTACTATATTTTTACGGTACTCTCTGCTGGCGGCTTTCACTACCGCCCGTTCAGTCAGCATTCAGTCCACCAGCTGCCCTGCAGGAGAAAGGCGGGCACTCGTCTTCAAGCACTGACAGCCTTGGACGCCCGAGGGAGGGACCGTGTTGGTTGAATTGAGTTAATGGCCGTGGATGTAATATTTTTGTAAGATTCAAAAGTCAAACCAGCTCAGCACTTCTCTTCCTGATGTGGCCACCAATGCCCAGTCCTCCTCCACAAGAGATGACCTGTCCCTCCGTGGACACGGCCTGAGATGCTTCATCTTCCTTCCTGCCCCCGAGCCCCTGACGGCTGCCATGCCAGTGGGCACCCCCAGGCCCTCCGGCCGGCCGTGCTGTCCAGATGCCTCACTCTTTATGTTGTTTCAGACCAGTGCCAGTACGTCCACTTCCATTTGCCCTATCGCTGGCAGTTCAGGGATGGAGACACGTGGAAGGACTTGGATAAAATGGAGCTCGTTGAAGAGGCCTACAGCAATCCTCACAAAGAGGGGTACGTGGTTTCTGCTCTGGGGGTGCACGTCCGTGTGTCCGGTGGGAGGGCAGAGCACAGGTCAGTGGGAGGGGCTCTGAGGACAAGGCTTATGCACGTACATACAGCACACACACAAGTCGTGTGCACACACGTCTCACGCCTCCTCCTAACATGTATACACCACACACAAATCGTGTGCACACACGTCTCACGCCTCCTCCTAACATGTATACACCACACACAAGCCGTGTGCACACACGTCTCACACCTCCTCCTAACATGTATACACCACA